AAAAAAAAAAAAAAAAATAATTATTATTAATTAACTTAAAAGACAATCGTATTAGATAAAGTAATGAATTATTTAAATATCTCAATTTATATTGAGGCTTTTAATTATGATTTTTTTTTTTTTTTTAATTAATTTTAAAATCTAAACAGTGAGAAATTTTTAAATCAATAATGAATTTTATTAGCGACTGTTATTAAAAATTAATTTTATTTAAATGTTGACAAAATCATAATTAATAACAACGAGATAATTTGTAAAAATGTAATAAATTTTGTTTAAGCACTGGTATCAGTAATGAAGCAATAATTAACAAATTATAAATCGGTGCACTCGAAAAAAAATCTCGCGCGGTTTTTCCGCTGACTGTGATAGAATAATTTTTTTTTTCTAAATAAAAAAAAAATAATTAATAGTTTTATTACCTATTAATTATTCATATTTTTTTAAACAGCGAATTATTGAATTTATGGATTAAAAGAAAAATTTTTTTAAGAGCCAGTTTTTTGGCTTGATAATAATTTTTTCCTTTAAAATTTCGATAAATATCAACGAAAATGCATTTGTAAATAATTAATTAATTTTAATTATTTTAAATCAATATGTAGCGGGTAATTAGCATATAAATAATATTATCGGTATGTTAATAGATAATTAGTGAATATTAATAATTATTAATTAAGTGACTCGCAAATTATTTATAATCAACTGCGAGAAAAGTACTTGAAATTATTGTTGTCCCGTAGTTCAATATATAAATATATATTATATACATATTAATATTTATAAGTATATATTTTTATATATTTATATAGATATATATATATACATGGTTATATGAAGATATTTATAATATGTAATTGAGCGTTTTGCGTCTAATTAATTTTCTTAAGAAATTAGTGCCATGCCTCAGCGGCAATACGGAAGGAAATTTAATAAAAATTCTATTTGGCGAATGAAATTATACTCGAAATTCGATTGTATTTATCGTGTAGTTCAAATTAATTTACAATATTTTTTTTTATATCAATTTAGCCATACTAAGATTTTTTATTTACATAAGTGTACATTATCCTATTCATTGTTACGAATTATCGTAATAAGATTTTTTAGATACGCTGTATAAAACAAATTGATTTATAAAAATACGATTTTAAGATAGTTTTTATATTTTTATTAAAAAAAAACTCGATGGGACTATTTTTTTTCATCATAAGTACATTTTTAATAAGAGTAATTATTGTAAATAATTTATAAATTTATGAAAATAAATGATAAATATTATATGAAAATTTAATCCTAAGTAAATTCTAAATAAAAACATTAGACAGATTAGATATTTAAAAAAGAAAAAATTTATTTTACAGGAAGGTTAACAAGAAATATTTTTAAAAATCTAATACTTAATCTGAAGTTTTTAAAAGTTCTTTTTGTTTTGTATCAAGAATACCTTCTGCTTGCTTGATATATTTATCACAAAGTGCCTCCAGTTGACTTTGAACCCTTCTCATTTGGTCTTCGTTAATCGAGGGAGCTTTTTTGAGGTTCTTAAATTCTCGGTTTCTCACATCCTTGATATTGTCCCGGCATTTTACGAATAGCGCTTTCGCGTTTTTTGCCATACCCTCTCGATATTCTTTGGTAACTCTAAAAGAATAATAAGAATAAATAAAATAATTAAGATAAATAACCACATCAAAATTGAAATGGAAAAAAAATTTTGTCTTAATGTATGTAAATAAATAAATAAATGATACTGAAATTAGCCGACATTTAAAAAATTTTTAGAATTTATATATAAAAATTTTTTTTAGGTAGAAATCTATTTATTGTCATAGCTTCTACAGTTCTTGATGAATTTTAACAGCCGGACCCTACAATTGCAGCTTTATATTTATTCTCTCCTAGATAAAGAAGAATTAAAAAAAACACTCTGCTACGTAATAGATTTGTTGATGATCTATTTCGTAACAAAGATAGTACCGTTTCTTGCAGTGAGTAATAATAAAATTGGCTGTTAATAAAACTTGTTAGATTAGTTCAGAAATAACAGCCATTAAAATTTTCAAAACAGTGAAAATTGCATTTTCGGTCACTTTATCAGTAAACAATTTTTGATTAAGAAAATAAATATAATTCATTTCTGAGAAATCTACCTTCTATCTCAGTTGAGCTGAATGGCATTTTTTTTAATTTGCACCTTTTATTTTTATAAATTTGTAAATATTACTTTTTTTTTTTTTATAATAATTTAGTTGTTATAAAAATTCAAAAAATTGACAGATGTTTATTAATTTCAGTATTCTTAAATGTCTGCTGATTTCAGTCTCATAATTTTTTTACTAAATTTTCTTGATAATTATTTAAAAGCTATAAAAATCTAAAAATAGTTATAATAGTCAAATTTTAATAAACTTAACCGGTAGAATAAATAAAAAAATAAATTTTACGTACTTTGGAATCGGTATAAATAAAGTCGTGCCATCTTGCTGAGGATTTAAATTCAAACCGCTTTTACTGAGAGCCTCCAAAATCTGAGGAATAGCCTGAGGAAAAGATGTGACATTGACAACAACTGTCTTAGGCTTATGAACAATCTGCGTAAGGTCTTGCAGCATGTAGTCCTCGCCTTCAAAGTGAACAGTAACTTGTTCGATAGCTCCAACAGAAGATCTTAAAGTCAAGTGCTTGATATAACTATTCTTTAATTCCTCTAGCGCGTAATCCAGTTGTGATGTGTACTTGTCAACATCCATCACCTGTCGCGCTTCTAATAAATCAATGTGCTGAGCTTTTTCGACTTTTTTTTTCTTGTCTCCTTTTTCTTTACCCTTCTCCAGAAAACGAGACACGAAAAATAGCCTTTTGTTTACATTATTTACATACATACTTGCTCCGATTATTGAGTCATTAAATTTACAAAAAATACTCCTGTTAGTCCTGTAAGTACTGTATTTATTATTGATGTTATATCTTGCATAATACTTCACTGATAAATCTGTAGTTGTGTTGTTTAAATTAAAAATACTATGTGGTTTCAGCAATCTTAATTTCAAGACCCAGCTCATTTTTAGTCTAGTTTGATTGATATTTTACCTGGAAATTATAATTATGATGAATTAAATTTTTAAATTAAGGTTATGTTATTTTTAAAAACTTTTCAATATTTACCGGTCTAAATGTAAACAAATATTTATCAGGGGAAACTTGCTTGCAACCTCGAAAATTTTTTGTAATTTTATTTATATTGTTAAATTGCAAAAACTCGAGTTTCAGCGCCTCTGACAGCTAAGAGACTAACAAAAATTTTAGCCTTCAGAGGCGCTGAAACTCGTTTTAGTTTCTGGCGCAAAATAAAAATTTAACTTAATCAACGGACATCTTGAAATTCTTAAGATTTTTATAACAATTAAAATAGGTACTGTGAAAAAAAGATTGTAATGTAATAAGAATTTTTTTCTTGTCAAGAAATTATGAAAATTAAGTTAACCGACATCTAAAAATTTTTAGAATTTTTTTAAATTAAAAGAAAAATTTTCATTTGTAAAAAACTTGAAAAACTATAAGTGCAATTTTTAGAAAATACTTTTTAGTTCTAATTTAATAAATGAAAAACAATTAAAAAGGTTGGCTAACTTTAGTAGCATAAGAAATTTGTAATAATGGATGTGAAATCAGCTGACAGATGATTTTTTTTGTAAGTATAAATTTTATGAGTTTATAAAAAATTGCATAGTAAGAATTTTTAAAAATTTTCAAGTTTTTTTTTATCATTTGAATTTTTTTTTTTTTTTTTTTTTTTTTTAATTTTTACAACAAATGAATCATAAAAAAAATATATTTTAAAAAAATTGCACTTGTAATTTTTTTCAATTTCTAAATGTGAAATTTTTATCTTAAAATTTTTTCATGTTTTAATTATTATAAAAATTAAAAAAATTAACAGATGTCTGTTAATTTCAGTATCAAATTTTTGTAAGTTTTTTATGAAATTTCTAATTTTAAGAAGATTACTTTTTCATTAAATCTCTGAATTATAATCATTATATTTAATTAAATGATTTAATTTAATTTTTAGAATTTGAAATTCCTGAGCTCCAAAAGAAAATTTATTACTCCTCTCTTATTTTATGAACCCGATATATTTATATTGAATATAAAGGTAGACAATACCACCAAATAATTTATAAAAAACCAATTTATAAAGTAACATAAATAATAATCAAACACACAATTTAACGATAATAAAATTCATATTTATAATCTCATATATTAATACAAAATTTCAAGCATATTTATAAAACCTCAAAAATACATCTATTACCATACATCAATAAACGTCAATATCAATGACAGTTTAAAAATTTGTTAAAAAAAAATTGATACAATCTAACCTAATTAATCATTACAAAACTGAGTAAGAAATTCATTTACAAGGCACGTGACCTTAATAGTTAAAAATTGTCGTCTTTATCCCAATCTCGATAAAAAAGCATTTAACTATATCATTAATCATATAAATAAAAATAACAATCATTGGATCAGTGGTAGACGTTGATAGCTTCTTCTGTGCATTTGATCAATTTTAACCAAGTAATAAGTCCCAGGGAACATTGGATCGATGCTAGCAGTAGCTTCGTAGGGTGCAGTGTGGCAATTCTTCTCCCTCATAGCGAGTATTTCCGTGTACTCCTCAGGAGTAATTAATTTCCTGGCATCCAGCTGGACTTTAATGTAGTCCAAATTATTGCAGATCTTCCTGAGCTGTTCCTCAGCTGCCTTATCATTACCAAAAGTCAGCGAGTACATACTAGAAGCCAAGCCAGATCCGTAGGAGAAGACTCCAATTCTTTTTCCCAGGAGCTGCTCAATGGGCTTGTTGATCAACAAGCTGACGAGTCCTGAGTAAACAGACGGCGTGTACATATTCCCGACCAAGTTCGCGATGAACAAACTGGGCTCTGTCTTATCTTTAAAGTCTTCGTTGCTGGTCTTCATGAAAGCTTTCTCAACATCTCTATCAAAGTAAGTATCCTCTAGCTTAAGATTTTTAAATTTTTCTAGCTCTGGAGTTTCAGGTGAATTTTTTTCCTTTAAAAAATCAATAAAAGCAAGCCTGGCGAATGATTTTTGCACAAGCTTGCAGTAAGGCGAGTGAAAAATTACAGCGTCGAAATATTTAAGCGTGACATTTTTAGAAGTTGAAGCTGAAGAAGAAGATTTATCAACTTTCTCGCAGTATTTTTTGTAACAGTTGTCGAGAGCGCTGAGGTAACATTGAATGGACAATTTCCCGTCGACGACTGGGTACTCAGATCTTAAGTCGGGCTTGTAGAAGTCGTAGGCGTGCTTCATGTAGGAAGCGCGGAGTCCGCGGTCGAACACCAGTGGCGCATTGGGCCCGATTATCATTGCGATCGCCCCGGCTCCGCCAGTTGGTCTGGCACTGCCAGTCGCGTAGACTGCGTTGTCTGCGGCTACTACCAGGGCAAGTCTTCCGTCCCAGCTGCTGCTTTCCACCCAGGAAATCGCGTTGAAAACCGCCGCAGTTCCTCCGTAGCAGGCGTTGGTTGTGTCAACCCCCTCGATGTCCGTCGCGCCGTAGGGCTCGAACAGCTGCATCAGCACTGATTTTACTGACTTACTCTTGTCGAGTATTGTCTCAGTGCCCACCTCCAGGTGCCCGATCTCGCTGGGTTTTATGTTGTTACGGTCTAACAGTCGGTGAGTCACTGTCAAGCACAGAGAGTTTATGTCTTCACGGTCGTTGCAGAAACCCATCTTCGATTGGCCTAGTCCTATTGTGTATTTGCCTGCTGACGCTCCGTCGTACTTTTCCAGGTCGACTTGGTCTACATACTGCGCTGGGAAGTACAGTTCTATTGCTTTTATTCCTACGTTTTCTGGCCACATTTTTTTAGTTTTATTTTTGTACTTTTCTGGAATAAGGAAAAAATTTTTTTTTATTTTTTAGGTAATTAAATTTTATGGAGCTATAATTAGCTGAGATGTGGACATTTTTGGATTTTTTGAACAAATAAATTTGTACCGAAAAATTATTTTTTAAAAATTGTATTTTTAATTTCTTTATGCCATTTTTTTGCCATACTTGTTACAAAAATTTATGAAAATTAATTTAGCAGATATTTAATAACTTTAATAATTTTTTTTAATAAATAAATTACTGCTTAAAGAATGAAAAAAAAAAAATGACATTTAGAAATTTTAATAAATTAAAAATGCAATTTTTTTAAAATAATTTTTCGGTACAAATTTTTTTGTTAAATAAAATTGAAAAATGGTCAAGTGACAGCTAACTTTAATATCATCAACAATTTTTTAAATTATTAAATATCTGCTAAATTAATTTTCATAAATTTTTGTAACAAGTATGGCAAAAAAATGGCATAAAGAAATTAAAAATACAATTTTTAAAAAATAATTTTTCGGTACAAATTTATTTGTTCAAAAAATCCAAAAATGTCCACATCTCAGCTAATTATAGCTCCATAAAATTTAATTACCTAAAAAATAAAAAAAAATTTTTTCCTTATTCCAGAAAAGTACAAAAATAAAACTAAAAAAATGTGGCCAGAAAACGTAGGAATAAAAGCAATAGAACTGTACTTCCCAGCGCAGTATGTAGACCAAGTCGACCTGGAAAAGTACGACGGAGCGTCAGCAGGCAAATACACAATAGGACTAGGCCAATCGAAGATGGGTTTCTGCAACGACCGTGAAGACATAAACTCTCTGTGCTTGACAGTGACTCACCGACTGTTAGACCGTAACAACATAAAACCCAGCGAGATCGGGCACCTGGAGGTGGGCACTGAGACAATACTCGACAAGAGTAAGTCAGTAAAATCAGTGCTGATGCAGCTGTTCGAGCCCTACGGCGCGACGGACATCGAGGGGGTTGACACAACCAACGCCTGCTACGGAGGAACTGCGGCGGTTTTCAACGCGATTTCCTGGGTGGAAAGCAGCAGCTGGGACGGAAGACTTGCCCTGGTAGTAGCCGCAGACAACGCAGTCTACGCGACTGGCAGTGCCAGACCAACTGGCGGAGCCGGGGCGATCGCAATGATAATCGGTTTTTTTTTTTTGTATTGTAATTTTAGATGATGAAGTCAGCAAGAAATTAAAAATTTTTTTATACTTTACCAAATTTGTACTGAAGAATGTAAGAAAAAAATTTCTTAAAATTCTTAGATTGAAAATTTAATTTTAAAAAATTTTTAAAAGTGACAGATGTCTGTTTTAATTTTAATAAATTTAATATGTATTGTTGCAATAAATTTAAATAAAAAAATGTAAAATGTAAAAATATGAATGACTATAAATGATTATTTAAAAATAAAAAACAAGATTTTTAAATGTTTTTCAATAATACATTTAACAATTAATAATACTAAAGTTAGCCGATGTTTTTAATTTTTTGATTTTCTTTTTAATAATTAAAATAAAAAAAAAAAATATTTTTTAAAAATTGCATTTACAGTTTTTACCAATTAAAATTTTTTTTATTTTTTTGTAATAATTTTTTTAATAATAAAAAATTCTAAAAATTTTTAGATGTCGGCTAACTTAATTTTCATGAACAATTGTAATATACACTGGAGTAAAAAATTTTTAATCAATAAAGTAACCTAACTGTCAATAATATTTTTTGTTAAATTTTACCAAAATAAAAAAAATAAAGTAAATATTATAATAAAAAAAAAAACATATGACAAAAAAAATAATTACCTGGATTATGTTGATGTATTTAAAAAAATAAAAATAAAAAATCCTCTGTATATTGATCACGATAACATAATTTAATGAGTGACCAATTAAAATTCTTTCAATTGTCCAAATAACAAATAAATTAAAATAAATAAATAAATAATTAAACAAAGTGACCCAAAAGCCTGTTTAATTGAAGAGTTAAATGTGCAATAACGGCTTTTTCCCGGTATCCAATCACCAGGAATTTAGGTTAGAAGTGAAACTTTTTTTTTAGTTATAAAATCACCGTTTGTTTTAATATAATTATTCATTAATATTTTTTTTCTAATTATTTAACAAGTAAATTAATCTCAAAAAATTAAGTTTTAAAAATTAAAAAATTAATAAACAAGTAAACAATCAAGATGACACTTGTTAAACTAGTCACGTTTTAACCTACTGGAGAATGAAATAGATTTTTTAAATCAGGAGAATTTTGACGTTAAATCTACGAGCACACGAAGATGAGTAACAAGTAACACGTTTGACTTCAATAAAGAAACATCACCATCACCTATCACCTTGACTAGGTATACATGTATTGTACGTATATATATTTAAAATATTTATATATATATATATATATATGTGTATTTACACGTGTACAAGCTTCTATCTTCTATTTAGGCCTGGCGTTAAGTTCACCTCTCAGGTTGTACTTATTATGTGTAATGTAAAAGTTTAAGTTTAAGTCAAAGCTAAATTCAAAGCTGAAAGCCAAATGCCAAACAGAAGCAAAAGGTCTAAAACAGCAACAGCCGAGTGCTATGCTCGGACTTTACTCTCTTTTACTCGTGCAAATGTATTGTAATTATTATAAATTTATCAAGAGGGGATAACTTAATGTTACATTACTTTTACGGTTCTATTTTATTCTCTCTTTTTCAACTTATATTATTATATTTTTATTATTTATAAATAACTCATGTATTGTATGTTTTTTTTTTTTTTTTTTTTTTTTTTTTTTTTTTTTTAGGATAAGAATAATGAGGCGATCACATGCTGAGATTTTCTCTTTTATTATTTCTATTGTGAAAAGATGGTTTAAGTATTTAATATTTATTTTTAATGATTTTCAGTGTAATAAAAAAAATTTTTTTTTTGTATGAAGAAATTTTTTATGGATGTAAAATCAGCTGACATGATTTTTTTTATGTAAGTATAAATTTAATGAGTTTTAAAAAAATTACATGGAAAAAACTTTAAAAAAATTCTTAGTTGATTTTTTCATGTCATTTTTTTAAAGAAATTTTTAATTTTAAAAAAAACTTTCACATTAAAACTCTAAATTATAATAATAACTCTAATCATTTAATTTAATGAGTTATAATTTTATCTTTAATTATAGAGTAGAAATTAAATTTTATCTTTAATTTAATGACTTAATTTCCAAAAAATTTTACAAAAAAAAAATTTTTTTAGATTAGAATTCTAAATTATAATTATTTTATTATTTAAAAAAAAATCTGAGATCAATTTTTTTTTCTAATCATTTAATTTAATGAGTTATAATTTTATCTCTAATTATAGAGTAGAAATTAAATTTTATCTTTAATGACTTAATTTCCAAAAAATTTTACAAAAAAAAAATTTTTTTAGATTAGAATTCTAAATTATAATTATTTTATTATTTAAAAAAAAATCTGAGATCAATTTTTTTTTCTAATCATTTAATTTAATGAGTTATAATTTTATCTCTAATTATAGAGTAGAAATTAAATTTTATATTTAATGACTTAATTTCCAAAAAATTTTACAAAAAAAAAATTTTTTTAGATTAGAATTCTAAATTATAATTATTTTATTATTTAAAAAAAAATCTGAGATCAATTTTTTTTTCTAATCATTTAATTTAATGAGTTATAATTTTATCTCTAATTATAGAGTAGAAATTAAATTTTATCTTTAATGACTTAATTTCCAAAAAATTTTACAAAAATTTAATATTTCACCATATTATTTATCTAATCTCTGTCATTAAATCGCTCAGAGCTATTTTTGTTTAATCTCTGACGTCGAATCATAAATAATTTTTAACAAGAATACATTATTGATTAGAGTATTTATCAATTTAAATTTAAATATGATAAATTCAAATTTGATTTTATAATTTAAAAAGCATGATCTATTTTACGCTAAAAGAAATGAAATAAATAAAATAAATCAGATCCAATTTTATATAAAATAAAACTCGCGATTGCTGCAATAGGAAATCAGTAATAGTTGTTTAATAATACATATCACGAACAAAAAAAAATGCACCGGTAAAAATTCGCATAGCTCGCGACAAAGTTACAATTACACGCAAAAAAAAATTTGCAAAACAAATGCAATATTATACATCACACATGCACACGTATAAAATTATATGCATAAACGATTATCATAAATACATAACATATAAGTTTAATTCCGTGAAATACTTAGGTATTTAGGCCATTGCTTTCAATAAACAAATTTTAAATCAATATTAAAAAAAAAAAAAAAAATAACTACAGTAATTATTTGAATGAATTTTATTATTTATCTAACTGATTACATACATCATATTCTTAAAATACTACAAATAATTATTTCACTTACAAATGGGTAGCCTTTAATATTAATATTAATATTAAAATTTAAATTAATTACTGACACAGCAAAATATATAATTTATACTCATAATCTTTCACTCGATAAATATCATGCGTTATAATTAAAAAGTACTTATTAAATTACAATCGATTATAATTATTTAAGTAATTTATAATTCTTAATACTTTTTATGATTAATAATAAATATATTGAATTTACATTGATAATTAAGTTGTGATTATGATTATTATTATACACAAACTACTTTGTATAAAATACTTAAAATAATTATTTTTATCGTAAGAAACTTGGTATTAAAAAATTCAAACATTCAAAGCAGGAATGTCTATTATAGCCCGTCGGTGATGATTATTTTTTTTTTTTTATTAATATAATAAACTTTCTGTTGAGAGATAATTTTTTTTCTTCAAAATTAGACGAATTAATAGCGTGTTAAAAAAATTTGATGGCTCTGGCCTACTGACCTACTTCCGGATTTTGTGATGGCAAATACGTATTTTTTTTGACTCGATAATTATTACATCAAATATTTATATTTACATTACGTATATTATAAAAAATGAAATTCGCTATACAGCATTTCACCTAGTTATAATTGTAATTATAATTAATAATTATTTTTATTTAATAAATCTTATGTTATATGGCTTCATACGATGCTCGTACACATCACAGACCTATTGATATCGATTCAAAAAAAAATCGGTGGTAAATAATAATAATTACAATAATGTGATTGAAAATTTATCGAAATTTAAAATTATAAATAAATTTTTACAATTGGCACATGATTGAGTAATTTTTTAAAAAAAATTATTACTAAAAAAAAAAAAAAAAAAAAAATTCTGTCATACGTTATTTGGCACGATATCAAATTTGATTTATTTTGTGCGGTAACAATTTTTAAAAATCAAATTAATCGGCAGTATTTTTACAATTATTTGATTTGAAAATTATTTTCAGGACGATAATGCTTGAGCATGTTGTACTAAAGGCTTAATAATTTCAAACAATTGTTTTAATTTTTTTACATAACGTATGAATGCTATTATTACACTTAACTTAAACAATTATCAATCAATAGTAAAAAATAATATAAAATAAATAACTAAGTTAAATAAAAAAAAGTCCTAGTTTAATTACAAAATTGTTACATTAGTATATGTGTACTTTTTATTAGTATTTTATATTTAATTAATTAATGTCAGTTCAACTGATTTACTTTACTCATATATATATATATCTATAAATTAATTATCTATAAAATATTATATTGAAAAATAAATATATTGTGCGGACAAAAAATATTGTGATCAAATGCGGAAGCATTTTACTGGACAATCCTATTTTATTTGGATGGCTGATTCAATAATTAAATTAATTATTAGCTACAATAAACACTAATCTATAATTAACTTACACAATCTATAAATAGATTACGAACAAAAAAAAATAATAATAAATACAAAAAAAAATCGTACAAAATTTAGCTTTTAAAATAAAGCTATTACAATTAATTACTTTTCTTTGTTTATAAAAAATTTATCCAAGTTATCAATTTTTTTTTTTTTTACAGTTAATGTCTTCTTCGTCAATAATATATTTAATAATCAATAATAAATTTCTTTTCATTTTTACTGGCTAGAGAGACCGATTTGTGATTGCTGCTAGTGACTTTAAGCGGAAGTCTGTTCAATTTTTTTTCAATATAAATGTGTATTATTTTTTTTGGTGATTTTTGTTTAGAAGAGTCCCTTTTTCTTGCTTTTTTTGTCCTTGCCATCGACAGTCCTGAAAGGATAAATTTTTTTATTTCAAAATTTTAACTTATTAAAATACTAATAATAATAATTATAATAATAGTAAATAAATAATTGGGTTTAATTGAAGAATATTCAATCTAATTGACAAAGTAGAATAATAATAATAGATAAGCTTGTACTCGTTCCATCAATTTTGACAGATTTTACAAACGGCTGATTGACAATTACCATGCTAAAAAAATCACAACTTAAACGCACAATTTATGCCACTACATGCCATTAAGCTATATAAGCATTCATCTGAATTATTATGCAAGGTAATAGACCTTATGTAACATAACTATTCCATCCTCTCTTGTTTCCTTTCTTCGGATAAACACCGCACTTAAATTTCATTTAAACAAAATAATTCAACTTAATATAGCTTGAAATAACACAGCATTTTACACACAATAAAATCTAATTAAATAAACATTAAATAAGTTAGTAAAGATTTTATATAAAAGCATTAATTATTTATTTGCGCATTTAATTTAATTAACAATTAAGTATGAGTATTTTTGTTATTAATACCTCTGATCAGCTATTATATTATTTAATATTATAAATAATTAATAAAAGTTTGATCAGAGTTTACAAAAAAATAAAGACTAATTAATGTTATTAAATGTATGAAAATTTTTACATGACATTTTTGTGGTACAATTTTTTTTTGTTGTATTTTCAACAATATTTCAACAAGTTTATTCTATGAGATGAGATGATATGATATGATTTTTTTTTTTTTTTCTAAACATTTAGTGGTAAAAAATGTGCCAAAAATATTATTATTAACTATTATTTGAACAGGTTAATCTAGTTAATATCAATGGTTAATACGATTAATTTTTAGTTGTTAAAATAATAAATTAAATTATCCAAGATTATTACTATTATTTAATACTAAAAATAAAAAAAGTCATGGCAAAAAATGAAATACAATTTTGGATAATTTAATTATTAATTATGTATATGTATATGAATATAATTATAAAATTAATTGTAAGTTAATAGTATATAATATTTGGATTGATGTTGATCGATAGTAGTTTTAAAATATTGATTGATTAATTAATTAATAATAATGGATTGTTTTTTTTTTGTTTCGCTTAAATTAAGCAAATTAAGCTCTATGGTATTTTTAGATGTTGTAAGTATATTATTATAAATAGTATTTAAGGATGTTCGGGGTGCTGTATTACAAGCTGATGTATCTGTGTAGGGTTGTCTTGCGATTTGAAACTGGTATGCCGACGAAGAAGACTCCCCAATCCTCGAGAACTTCTGAGTGTACCAACTCCACCGGCAGATCCCTCGGACGAAACTGAACCCGTCCTAAATAATAATTGACACCGCGGTTTCGTATACACAGCAACACATACGTGACATACATACATTTACATTTTAAAAAAGAGGTTTAGGCGAAAGCGCTGAGTACCAAAAGCCAGTGGTTTTTTTTTTTTTTTTTTTTAAATAAAAAGGGATAAAGTAAATGGTTTTAATGACCTTGTTTCAGTTTTTATTTTATTAAAATAGCTAAGTAATATTTTAATTAAAAAATTTTACTCTGGATTTATTTAGTAAAAAAAAAAAATTAGTAGCATTAAATTCTACAAATAATAAAACACTAGTATAATTATTCTCATGAATAATTTCTTTGAAATATGAAGAAATATACATATGCACTATAAATATTTAAATTTGGATTATTTTACTTGGTAATTTTAATTGGTTTAATTGCGATAATAACTAGAATTTTTTTTCGATATAATAAAGGGTCAATGAGGTCAGAGTAATAAATCACGAATTTTTATTTGAAAATAAGCTTTGATTTTTTCTAGGATAAATTTTTATTGGCTATTAAATATTAAAAGTCATCACCTAAGAAAGAATAAAATGACACTGGATATCATCCTAGATTCTACTCAGTGATATTGATCGAATTAATCAAATTATTTTTTATTTAATTCAAGTGAACTTATTCGTTTGTTAATCTATCAAAATTAATGCCAATATTTTATTATCATGATAATTTGTCTAGCTCCTTATTTTTTAAAGGGTGATTTTTTAACATTTTGATGTAGCAATAATCCAATTATAAATTATTTGAATGATTCAAACCTAAATACTATAATATCTCTATTAGATAATAATGATATCAAATGGTTTTTTTTTTTAAGTGATAATAAATTTTGAACTAATTGTTTTTTTCATACAAATAGAAGATTCTCTAAAATGGAGTTAGACAATTTGCTAGTTAGGACAAAAAATTTTTTTTTTCTCAGGGTACTCATTGTAATCTGGATTATATTAGCTATCTGAAATTTTTTTTTACTCAGTATAATCTGGGATGATATCCAGTGTCATCTTGTTCTTTCCTATACGATCAAATGGTTAAAGCGACGTTAAATAAATAATTAAAAAAAAAAAAATATCAAAAGTTTTGAAACAAAAAGTAAATAATAGAGTTTATTCACCGGAGACGAATCAAGGCTATTAAGAGTGTGAGTTTAAATAAGTATGAATAGTAAAATTGTTCGGCTAAACTCAAATGTAGGTAATTTGAGACCAATTGAGTTCTTAATGTCGATACCGCAATATATATTAAAGTAAAACGTTATCCAGCGCTATAAAAGGTCAGAAACTGGGCCATTTACCTTATATAAATTTATGAAAAGAGTTTTTAAAGAAAGTAGAACAATTTATCAAATGTAAAAAACCAGTGCATGCTTAAAATTTTTATTTCAAGAAAAAAAAAAAAACACTCAGTGATATCAAAAAGTAATGTAAAAAATTTCGTGAAGAAAACTTTTAATTTATTATTAAAAATAAGAACTACTTCTAGAAGGAAATTGAAAAAAGATACTAATAGAGTATTAATTACTTAAAATAAAAAATAAAATATAAACTTACTCTTTAGAATTATTATCCAAACTACGTCTGCGTAGTTCTTCAATGCTTTGCCCAGTTTGTTGCTCCCAAACCTGTCTCTCAGCTTCGAAAGCGCGTCTTTTATCCTCTAGCTCACGTAATTGTTGTTCAAGGGATCGTCTCATTTGTTCATGTCTTCTTTGTAACTAAAAAAGAGAATAAATAATCAATTTTTGTTATCAGAAAAAAATGAAAAACAAATTAAAAACTTACATCAGCTTCAGAGTCTCTCAGCTTCTGTTTTTTCTCCTTAACTTTCATCTCGAAAACTTGCTCCATCTCCATTTCCATTTTCTTCATTTTAGCGTCATGCTCTCGCTTCTCTTCCTCTAACTGCGCCAGAGGGTTCCTAACACAAAATTATTCATATTAATAAAAATAATAAAACTTTATACAGCAAGTTTTAAAATAGCAACACTAAAAAAAAAATTAATTAATTAATTAAATAAAAATAAAAAATTTTAATTAACAAACACTAAAAAATAAAAAGCTATGAAAGGTAATGAAATGGATTTGAAATGACCTCTTATATTTATTATATACACAACTACTTAATATATAATAAACTAATAAGAGAATAAAATTTTTTTTAATAAAATTATCAATTAATAAGAGGTGGGTAATAAGAAAATTGATAAGTCTTGTGCACACAAAACCGCAATAAACAAATCACAGCTCCGGCAAAAAACTTACCACACTGTCATGAAACTGTTCATCACTCCAGGAGGGCACAAACTAGCCAAGAAATTAATACTAATTAACACACTATTATTTTACATTTTAATTCTTTTTTTGATAGATGAGCTTTAGATCAAAAAAATTTACCCGTTTTGATCGTAAGCTCCTTAAATTTATAAAAAAATTATTTACAAATCCTACCCTCCTTTTTATACCCCATTTATCTACTATTTGTAATAGAATTTTTTTATTTCCTAATAATTAATAAATTACTTGTTACTTGTTCAGTTTGCATGCACAAGCTTGTCATTAATTCCCATCTATATTATGTAAATTAATTAATATGTAATTAAATAAAAGTCCTACTAGTGAAATGAGTCGACTAATTAATGATTTATGTCAATGAGTGATAGGAATTTTTTTTTTTTTTTCAATAATATCACTTGTAAGTAAATAGTAAACAGCCGATAATCTTATTAAATTAATTAATAATCATGCAAGTAATAAAAAATATAACATACTTGTTAGAAATTCTCGTCGGCTTGCCGTCAACCCCGACACCAGCCAATGTACGGCAACGGAAATTTTCGTAATGAACGTTATTTGTCACATCCTTCAAGTCTTGCAAATGCGTTCTGATGACCATGTTACGGAGGGCGATAAAGTCACAGTGCTCTAGATTCTCAACTGCATAATAATAATTACAATAACATTAATAAACAATTAATTAAAAATAAAATAATGAAAAACAAACAAGTCACATGATAAAATCGGTTTTTTTAGTGAAATTTAGTGTTATTGCAAAGGTCTTGATTTGAATTTGTGCTTTTTGAAGATTTCATATCAATTTTACCAATAGCCAACTTATGATGATAAGTATTTAGGTTGCATTCGAAAATTCTCTATTTAGATACATAATTAAGAAATGACCTTGTATCTTGAGAACTATTGACATTTTTAAAGATATAAGCTCATCCCGATGTTACACTCATCAAGAGCTTTCATTTGAGTACCCACACGCATTTTGATATATTTTTTATATATTCATATATA